CTATAATAAATTGCAGAAAAGGACAATAAAAACCATCATAATGGACAATTAAAATCATTACTGATGGGCTTGTTACTCACAAACCTGTAAAGCAGAAAACTTCCTTACAAAACCTAATGAGCTACCTTATTTCTTTCATTTTTTTGAAATCTAAAACATGCCATTTTTTTCAGAAATATTGCATGATATTTTCAGACAAAGATCTAGAGTCATAAAGCTTCTTAAGTGCTGCATATAAATAGATGCAGCATATACTAATCATATGAAAATATCCATGTTATATTATACCCACAGATGTTAAAATAAAAAAAGAGAGTGAGTCGGTTGCATACTAAAATACACTAAACTTATCTGACTCAGATTTTGTACCTGTTAATACGAAGTAAATGTAGGTTAATGTTTTTTCTAACAGTATTCAACATTTTATAAAATTTAAACTATGACTGGATTCATTCCCTAAAAACTGTGAAGTTGAAGATCTCAGAGGGAGTTTTTATTAACACTTAGTAAGTAATGCATGGTTTTGTACTCTATACATAGTACTTTACTCTTTATTTTTGCATGTTTCTCTATTTCCATCTGTCTGTTGGTCTGTCTCATATATCAAACAGAACACAATGTACAAAAGCTGGAATGAAACACATTTGTGAGAACAAGCATAGGTACCATGTCATACCAGTCACTGAGAAAAGTATAAAAGATGGTTGTATGATGTTGGAAGGTTGAGATTTTAATTCTTTCTTTAGGGCATTCATTATTGTACATGACTGCCTGCCTATCAGAAGAATTATAGGTGCAAACAAAAATAAAAACATATTATCAGATTTCATAATGACAAAAAGCTCATTGTAATCTCCAAAATCCCTTTTGACTCCCTAACCAGTGATAAAAAAGTAATAATAATAATAATAGTAGTAAAGTTGGAAGGGACCTTGGAGGTCATCTAGTCCAACCCCCTGCTCGGGCAGGAAACCCTACACCATTTCGGACAAATGGCTGTCCAGTCTCTTCTTAAAAACTTCCAGTGTTGGAGCATTTACTGCTTCTGGAGGCAAGCTGTTCCACTGATTAATTGTTCTCACTGTCAGGAAGTTTCTCCTTAGTTCTAGGTTGCTTCTCTCCTTGATTAGTTTCCACCCGTTGCTTCTTGTCCTGCCTTCAGGTGCTTTGGAAAATAGCTTAATTCCCTCTTCTTTATGGCAGCCCCTGAGATATTGGAATACTGCTATCATGTCCCCCCTTGTCCTTCTCTTCATTAAACTAGACCAGTGGTTCTCAACCTGTGGGTCGGGACCCCATTTGGGGTCAAACGACCATTTCACGGGGGTCGCCAAACAAGGCTGTCCACCATTTTTCCCCCTATTCTTTGGCCACGCCCCTGGCACCCGGTGATGTATAAGTGGTTGGGGGTCACCACAACACGGGGAACTGTATTATGGGGTCGCGGCATTAGAAAGGTTGAGAACCACTGAACTAGACATACCCAATTCTAGCAACCGTTCCTTATATGTTTTAGCCTCCAGTCCCCTAATCATCTTTGTTGCTCTTCTCTGTACTCTTTCTAGTGTCTCAACATCTTTTTTACATCGTGGTGGCCAAAACTGGATGCAGTATTCCAAGTGTGGCCTTACCAAGGCATTGAAGAGTGGTATTAATACTTCACGTGATCTTGATTCTATCCCTCTGTTAATGCAGCCTAGCACTGTGTTGGCCTTTTTGGCAGCTGCAGCACACTGCTGGCTCATATTTAGGTGATTGTCCACTAGGACTCCGAGGTCCCTCTCACAGTTACTACTATTGAGCATGGTGCCACCTATGCTGCCACCTATGTGTTTTTCTTACTTTCTCCCTTCTCTTTGAGTTGATATATCATACATGTGCTTGTGGTTTGTGTATTTTGCTGACAAAATATATACAAATGGAAGCAATCAATCATGGCTTGCTATGCAGGATCATCCTTGTTTCATGCTCTTACATGGTATATAAGATCCTTGGAGATCCTGTAACATCTTTCCAGTACTGTTCTGGGGTGTTTTTTAAAAAATTCTTTAAAAAAAAAAACTCCAAAAGCTCAGTTAAAATGGTCATTTTAACCATGTGAGAGATAATTTTACAGAGACTAGTATGTAGCAGTTTAAGGAATAGCACTCAGTTTTCTGAGGATTGTAAATGGCATATAGAAGGATATGAAAATTATTGTAATTAGATTTTTTTGCAATAAAATTCTGTTACATTCCAAGTGCAAATCAAGATTCTGGTCATTACTTTTAAACCCTAACAAATTATTTGCAGGACTTTCCATCCTGAGGATATTTATCCATTTCAGTAGGTCCGAGAGAGTAGATGTACACCAGGTCTCCTCTAACAAACAATGTTATCTGGTAGGCCTTAGAAGCATATCTTCTCTTTGGTGATGCCTACCATATGAAATAGTCTTCTATCAGAAATCCAGAAGATTCTTGACCTTTCACAAGGCTGGAGAGTCCTGGCTCTTCCCCAAAGCACTGGGTCAGGATGTGAAGTGGATGTGAGGTTTTTGTATACTGGGAGTATAGTTGCCTTGATTCAGTTGCCTTGACGTTATTCATTAATCATTAGTCAACTGGTATTTCCTGCAGCTATTCCAATGCACCATTGTTGCTACTTTGTCATGTCGTCATTTGTATCAGTCTTGCAATATTCTTGCAGCAGCTAACTAGTAGTCTGCTGTTTCTTCAGTTTCTTTGCGGACGCAGCTGTCTGTTGCTGCCTTTTCAATTCTGGCTTTGTATCCATTTGTTATTAAGGCTTGCCCTATCGTTATTATATACACATCACATATCATATATCAGATTATAAAGATCAAGATATAAAGATTTATGGCATTCAGAACTGTGACATTTTCTAGCTTTCCAAGCTATCATAACTTTGAATGGTCATTAAATGAACAATCAAGCAAATCACAAACAAATCATGTCCAATTAACCTTATCCCTTAAATAAAATCATTTACTTAGTGATCAAGAAAATTCATAGATACAGAACACCAGGACTTCAGCAAAACCTTCATAAAATGTCTCATGGTATTCTCAGTAAAATGGAAAAATGTAAGATGATAAATGATATAACAATCCTATGTAGTCACAGTTGGCTAAAAAGCAACATCAAGAATGGTAATTAATATTTTCTCTTCCTTTTGGAGGGAAACTTTGAGTCATATGCCAATGGTTTTTTCCCCCCGATCCTGATGTTGTTCAGCCTTTTGTCTTACAATTTGTATGAAAGTTGAGAGAACACTTATACAATTGGCAGGTAAGGCAAAGCTTGGAACAGGGGCTAATTAGATTTAAAAAGTACAAGATTCAAAAAATAGAGTCTCAAGCAAAGGGATGGATGAATGGATGGACGGACTATATCAGGTATGGATATGATATAATGCATTTGGCTAGGAAAAATACAAGGCACAAATATAGGATGGGCAGACTTGATCTTTTCCAATTTTTCAGTCTTACTGATAAATAAGGCATTCTTGGGTATGAATCATGAAGTGAACTAGTTCAAATGTCACAGAAAAGTGACACGAATGAAAGCGAAGATACGTGTCTCAGGATAATGTTGCAGGATCCAATTTGGGTCAGTCACCAGGACCAGAAGTGGTTTCGTCTTCCGAGCTTTCAGACTCGTGCACACTCTCTACTAGAGAGAACTTCCCTGAGGATAGGCTTCAGCATAAGTCCGAAAACTTGGAAGACAAAACCTCTTCTGGTCCCAGTGACCAACCCAGTTTGGATCCTGTGACAGAACAGTGACAGTTTGTAAGAAATTGTAACGATAATTATCATTTGTTTAAACCATTGGTTCTTAACCTTTTTGAACGAATCGCCCCCTTGAGCCAATGATGAAGCTGTCATCGCCCCCCTCCCCCAACATAACCTCTCAATCATAGGAAATAATTCTTCAATTTATGCAAACACTTTTTTTGTTTTCTTTAAAATTGTCATCAGGACATATCGATGCAAATCATTTATTTCCAGTCTTTTCCCCATATCTCCCATATTCTGGCCAATGGAGTGTCACTGTATGGGTAGAGGCTGCTGCGCAACGTGCATGAAGATAAGCGATGTGTATTCACATATGTACGGCGTTCTGTAATGAAGCTAGCTGGAAGAACATTTGAAAACACAATTCAATCCACTAATAGCGAGCGATCTGATGTTTTTGTACGACAGATATACAGCGATTCACTGTATGAAAAAGTCTCAAAAGTGTCCCCAAAACATCTTGCTCCATTGCCCCCATATTGCCCCTTTTTTGTTCCTTCGCCCCCCGTCGTCCCTTTTCGTTCCATCGCCCCCCTGAAAACTGAAATCACCCCCTGGGGGGAAATATCGCCCAGGTTAAGAACCACTGGTTTAAACTATAAGTGCAAATATACTAAAGCAATTCTATACCAGCATATTCTCTGTTTTCCATTTTGATGTAGGTTAGTAACTAACTAGTCAGTTGCATTTCTGCTGGATGGTGAAAAAGAGTTGATTCCACGCCTTGCCTTATGCAACCCTAATTAACAACTGAAAATTCTTCCATACTTAAACAATAATAGGTTTCAGCACAATAAAACTGGATTGAAAATGTTCTTTTTACAAAATGAATAGTATTAGGCCAATGATGTGGTAAAGCAGATTGACTTTAGAAAAAATTTGACTTTAGTAAGCAATTAGATTGGAGGTTTAAGACTGCAAATTGAATATTTTAATTAGCCTCACCATCAGTTACAATCTTACCTAACAACAGCTGAGCACAGGGAGATTTTCCAATAGTTATATGCATTTAATAAAATAAAGCCTTTATTGAAAATCACATTAAAGTATATGGAGATGCAAATGTTATTGCTTGGTGTGCTGCTTTTTCATCTATTCTAATTCAACTATTTCAATATTGCTTAATACAAAAATGCTGAGAGTATCTGTTGCCTTAACTCTATAAGAAACATTATAGCACTTTGAATAAAAGTTGGTTATAAGAGTCTTTATTTTGTAAACTATACATGAACATAAAAAGAAAAACAGTATTTTAATGTTACATAAGATAATCATTAAATTTAATATTAAATCTATTTAATCAAATGCAAAGAAACTTTATTTCAATTAATTGCAGATTAAAAATTAGGAAAAGCGATAATGCAGAGTTGAAATTAAACAACTGCTTGCATAATTACACAGAGTTTTTCAATTTCATTATGGCATGAAGCCACAATTTGATATGAATGCAGGTAGTGGAATCTCAAAACGTTTACACAATTAACATGCTAACATAAATAAAGTGATTAAAATAATTTTGTCTATAGTCAATTTGTGAATGCAACTCTACTTAAGAATTATATGCATTCTATATGGTAATTATGTAAAAATTGGGGCAGAGGAGAAAAAGATTTTCCGTAACAGCAGCAGCACTTAACAGTGATATAAAATTTGGAATTCGGAAGTGCTTGGCTACTGCCTCATAATTTTATTTCAGTATGCATGCTATAAATCTTTCTATTACTATTTTTCAAGGCACCTTACAATAGCTCCTCTAAGGTTTTGAACTAGTAGCAAAAAGGGATAAAATGGAAATGTTTAGGATCATTTAAAAATGAAAAAAAAACATTGTTCAAAAAACAATTATCCAGACATGTGGTCATCATTATCAGTTACAGTATCACAGAAACACAAACTTTATGGAAGGTTTTACTCACAAATCATCTGAAATTGATTTTATGATAGGAAAGTTTCAGAAATAAATATAAAATTGTCAAGCTAAGTTCATGCTTAACAAGCTTTATATGATTTTGATATGGACAGGAGAAAAGTACAAAATAAAATTCCTCGGTCTGCTTGTTGGGAATCAACGGAATTTATAGCGCAGAAAGGCTAAACAGATTAATTTTTGAAAGGAGGTTATTTTTGGTTAATTGTTGAATGGGGGAATACTATAGCAGTATTAGATTCGAAAATCAAAAAGTTCCTGGAAGTCTGTGGCAGACCATTTCCATTTTGTTTCCCCCAAACAACATGGGTCTGTCCATATAGTCACTAGGAGTCAGACTTTAGAGCAGGAGTTGGCAACCATAGTCCTTTTATGACTTGTGGATTTCAACTCCCAGAATTCCTGAGCCAGCCATGCTGGCTCAGGAATTCTGGGAATTGAAGTCCACAAGTCATAAAGGGGCCATAGTTCCCCACCTCTGCTTTAGAGCATGAATGTGTATCATTTCAAGATCCTAGTAATTTGGAAGTTGAAAACGTAACAGTTCAAAACAGAAAAAGAGTATCTGGCACTTTATGTCCTCTTATAGTTTCTCTGCTGCTCTAATATATAGTAAGCTGATGACATTATATAGTCTTGACTAAAATTTCCTTCTCTTGCTCATGCACATTCTGAAAAATGTCCCTGTGATCTACATCATGATTAAGCTGCTTTATAATGGAGCACGGGTCTGCTGGAAGTGTGCCTTTACGTATGGATTCTCAAACAGCAGTTGTCCTTAAAGTTATCTAGGACTGTTTGCTTGTTGTTTACTACCTCACAAATCTCAAGCATCTGTTGTTTTTTTCCTTGAGGCTACACTCCAGTGCATTTTCTTCTGCTGAGTGGTATATAAAAACAACACATAATATAATGATTTTCATTTAAACGAAGAATGTCCAGCTGCAGTGTTTCAAATAATCATACAAAATATACATGTAGATTTGATTCCATTTGACCTTTGAAGATAGAAGAATTTTCTGGGGTAGCATCTTGTAAATTTTAGAGACAAATTAGTCACAACTAAGAAAATCAAATATATCCCTCATGGTCATCATCATCATCATCACCCTCATCTTCATCATCATCTTCTATTTCATCTTCATCATTCATGATATCATCATCCTCATCATCGGTCCATTCATGGAAGTCACCACTGGCAAAATCCCCTGATGTCTCTAAATCTACACAGTGAAGAGGAAATATATATCAATATCTAATACATATATAGTTATGTTTCTTTGTGTTAAGTGTTCCTACAGGACTGTTATTTTATTCATTTTCTTGGATTTAAACTCAACCTTAGAGAGCCAGTTTGGTCTAGTAGTTAGAGAACTAAGCTAGAAAGCAGGAAACATGAGTTCTAATCCTGCCTTGACAAGAGTGTTTTGGAGACTTTGGGCTAGTCATTCTTTCTCAGCCCAACCCACCTCATAAGATTGTTGTTGTGAGGAAAATAGGAGAAAAAGGTGTGTTGGGTATGTTCATTGCCTTGAGTTATGAGTTATTTGGGGGAAATAAATAAAAAAATAAATGAAAACTCAAGGTGGGCTACTTATTAAAAATCAAAAACAATTAAACCAAAAGCAAAAGAAAATGATCATGAATGTCCAGAAAAACACAACACAATGCATTTCAAAATAGAACAATAACAAAAAAATATTAAAATCAACAAGGAACTCAGCAAGCATCCTGTCTCCAGGCCTGAAAGCAAAATCAAGTTTTCAAACATTTATAGAACAACCTCAGGGTGAGATTTGGGGTTCCAGAAGGCAAAAACAACTGGAGTTAGGTGGTTTTTCAGATAACCAGGCCCAGGACTACAAGAGACTTTCTAAGTCAGTGTTTCTCAACCTTGACAATTTTAAGGCATGTGGACTTCAACTCCCAGAATTCCACAGCCAGCATTGCTGGCTGTGGAATTCTGGGAGTTGAAGTCCACATGCCTTAAAATTGTCAAGGTTGAGAGATACTGTTCTAAGTGATAATCCTCAATTTAAATTGCACACAGAAGTTGGCTGGCAACCAATGCAACTCAAAAAGTGGCAATGGCATACAGATGCACTCTGATATACAAATACCATCCTGTGTTGCCATATTTTTAACCATTTGTAGCTTCCAAATAATTTTCAAGGGCAATCCCATCTACAGCATGTTGAATTAATCTAGTCTTGAGACTAGGGCATGATTGACGTTCTGACCCATCTCTCAAATCTATAAAAGGGCACAACTGGTACACCAGATTAATCCATGCAAAGGTCTTCCTCCCAAAGCTGCCACTTGCTCTTCAAGATGAAGATTAAGATAAATGAGAAAGTGTCAGTCCGATGTCTTCTTTGAATGTGACATGTACAGTATATTACCTGAGGCACATGTTCAATTCTCAGCCGTCAAATCTTTTCCAAATTAATCTACAAATCAGCCTTTCTCAATGTAACATAAAGTGCTAGAGCTAGAAGTTGTGACTTAATATACTGTATGAGGAGACCCTGAACAAATTAATTTAGATTAAAAATCTTCAAGATTAGCTATTGTAATGCTAGAATTAGCACACAGTTTTAATGGGAAAAAGGGAGATTTTGGAGACTTACCACAATCTGCAGCACCATGTGTTCGGGATCCTGTTACCTCATTGCCATATCTGTCAACACACCAGCATTGGCCCGCAGTTCCATGACACTGAGTTGGTTTATAGTAGCCATCTTCATCACATAAAGGAATATACTGCCCTGAACAAGACCCAAAAACACAAATATCTTGCAACATTCGCGGCTTTTATATTATGACTCCAGTGAAGCATTTTGTAAAGAAGCTTACAACACTTAATGGATATTTACTTCAGTATAAGCACCTTTTCTCCTGAATTTCTTTTAAATATCAAGTCAACATGTCATAAAAGAGAGTGGTTGCTATACAAAAGAAAAAAAAGGAAAAAAGAAAAATGAAACAGACTACAAACCATTCCAGAATATGTAAAGTTGATTATTTAAGAGTAAGCAGTCATCATGACAATTGGAAAGATAATGCAAGACCATAAACTGGAATAATCAAATTAAGGAGTGACTGAATGGTCCTATAGATTTCAGCTGTATTCTTTGTGTGTGTGTGTGTGTGTGTGTGTGTGTGTGTGTGTGTGTGTGTATAGGTCTTTGGTTGTTTTACGCGGGAGAAAACCCGAACAACCAAAGACCTACATACAAATACCCGCGAAAACCTCAGAAAACATATATATATATATATATATATATATATATATATATATATATATATATATATATATATATATATATATATGTAGGTCTCTTTGGTCGTTCAGGTTTTCTCCCGCGTAAAATTGGAAGTGTCGGCGACGTTTTGACGAAGTCCCATTCGTCATCTTCAGGCTGGTGTTTTCAGCTTTGTGCTTCGAAGCACGAAGTTGAAAACACCAGCCTGAAGATGATGAATGGGACTTCGTCGAAACGTCGCCAAGACACTTCCAATTTTACGTGGGAGAAAATCCCGAACAACCAAAGACCTACATACAAACACCCTCAAAAACCTCAGAAAACACACACACACAGACACACACACACACACATATATATATATATGCATGCTTTATAGGTACCAAATGTCATTTCATAGACAAAGTCACACCCTGCAGATAATTCAATACATAAATTATATTAAATGTTTTAATTGGTTGATCTTTTCTTCTAAACACTTCCCTACTAATTTGACACATGAACTTTGAAAATTATTAATTATAGTAACATTTTTTCTGAAAAAAAAATAAAAATGTATTTTTCTTCTATCCTCTATTGATAAATATAGGATCTCTCTCTCTGTGTACACAGTAATGAAGGAACGTATGTGTGTGTAGGTCTGTGTGACTGTTGTTAAAGGTTCCATGATTTTTTTTTTAAATCTGTAAGCTACTATAATAAAAATATTGCCTTAATATTGAATTTTATTTTTCTTATCATATTGCATGATTCACTGAATGAATGAAAAGCTAATAAATCCTGGGTTGTATAAACAGAGGCATAGAATCAAGATCACACAAAGTATTAGTACCACTTTATAAAACCCTAGTAAGACCACACCTGGAATACTGCAAATAATTTTGGTCACCATACTACAAAAAAGATATTGGGACCTTGGAAAAAGTTCAGAAAAGAGCAACTAAAATGATCAAAATGGAGACTAAAACATATGAAGAACAGTTGTAGGACTTGGGTTTGGCTAGTCTAAAGAAAAGAAGAAATAGGGGTGACATGATAGCAATATTCTAGTACTTGAGGGGCTGCCACAAAGAAAAGGGCATCAAACTATTCTCCAAAGGACCAAAGGGTAGGACAAAAAACAATGGTTGGAAACTGACCAAAGAGAGAAGCAACCTGGAATTAAGGAGAAACTTCCTAACAATTAACCAGAGGAATGGCTTGCCTTCAGAAATCATGGGCGCTCCATCACTAGAGATTTTTAAGAAGAGACTAGACAGTCACTTGTCTGAGATAGTATAGGTTCTCCTGCTCGAGCAGGGGGCTGGACTGGAAGACCACCAAGGTCCCTTCCAGCTCTATTCTATTCTATTCTATTCTATTCTATTCTATTCTATTCTATTCTATTCTATTCTATTCTATTCTATTCTATTCTATTGTGTTTTAAAAGTAAAATGGTCATTGTAGCAATAGTTTAAAATAGCAGCACTATCTTCAAGAGGAGGCACGGTGGGTCAGTGGCTTAAAAGATTTGGGAGAAGGTCTGTGCTCCGGCAGTTTTGAGTCCTGCCACAAGTGACAGTGAGCTCCCATCCCTTGCCTCAACTCCTGCCAACCTAGCAGTCTAAAAACATATAAATGCAAGTAGATAAATAGGGAGTACTTCGGTGGGAAGGTAACAGCATTTAGTATTTTGCCATATGCTTTGCGCTAGGGCATGATGTCATGCTTGCCACATGACTACAGAAACGTCTTTGAACAGCCTTGGCTGAATGGCTTAAAGCAGGGGTTCTCAACCTTGGCAACTTTAAGACTTGTGGACTTCAAGTTCCAGAATTCCTCAGCCAGCAAAGCTGGCTGAGGAATTCTGGGACTTGAAGTCCACAAGTCTTAAAGTTGCCAAGGTTGAGAACCCCTGGCTTAAAGAAATGGAGATGAGCACTGCTACGACTCGTGGATTAAGACGTGCAGAGACACCTTTATTTTTTACTATCTTCAAACTGATAATGAAAGAATTTTAATAGCTTTCAAAGTGTTTATACATTCGGTTACTAGAATTTGGGGTGCTTAATTTAGGATTCTTGTTAATTTTGTATTGCAGTTTCACTAGAATTATTATGTAATTAATAAAAGCTTCAAAAAGTAACATATAACTTACCTAGAAATTTCTTTCTCCCTTGCTGTTTGTGAATGTTGCTAAGCAATGACTGACAAGGTGGATCTGGAATAACATTAGGCACATTAAAATTTAGCCAAGTATGACAACTGAAGAAAGTTTTGCTCAATTTATAAGTTTCTTTCAAATATTTAAAAATATTTGATTTCCATTATACACGTCTTATCCAGAAGACAGTCACTAAACTTGGTTTGCAAACCATTTTTCTAGACTGGACTGAGGATATATTCTGATTCTGATTCTGCTTATCCAGATTTGCACTGAAATGTCATAGAAAAACCTTTCCATACATATTGATACATTTGGAACCACTGGACTGAAGAAGGTTCTTTTAAACCAAGTATGACAATTACAGGTTTGCTCAGCTATTTACATATCACTTCTGGTAACTAAATATATATGTAATTATTATTAATAGTAGATATCATCCAGTAGGCCTAATTTCTTTGAATTTGTTTAGTTTTTACAAAGGTACATTCAGGAATGTCATTATATCATTATATTTTCCACTAATGAATTCTATTAAAATAATTAATGTATATAGAGTATATTTTAGATTCTAAAAAACCCCATTCTGTTTACTCTTGTAAATTTTATTTCTATTGTTTCATGTATGTACAGTATATCTGTGTGATAATGTGTACATACATTTGCTTAACCAAACTATACTAAATTTGACAACCAGGAGAGTTTTAAAACATACCGATATTTAATCTGTCAGAAATAGATATTATATAATAACTGACATTTTAAAGTATTACAGAAGCAATATTGAAAAAGAGCAGATTTATTTACAGTAGCTGAAACTGCCAGTAACTATCTGCAGAAGCAAAACATTAGTCACATATCTGCGTCCCAAGGAGAAAATACAAAAATACAAAAACTTCTGACTTCCATTGAGAGAATTACTCATTGAAACCAGCGTTTGACTAGATTATGCCTTTTTGTACATGATTTGCCATTGTATTTTTTGAAAATAAACCCCCAGAAATAGGATAGGGACGTCTATCAAGCTGTCCAGTAAAAGACAGAATGGAATGGGACAACTCGCTGCTGCCTACTTGCTGTGGCCAACTCACCATCGGACAAATTGCCATGGCCAACTCACCAAGAGACAACTCGCTGTGGCCAACTTGCCACAGGACAACTCACCGTGGAACAATTCAACAATTCAATTTATTTAAAATACTTAAAAAAATGACTTTAATTTTGTCATTCACAATGCATTTTATCCCCCCTTTTGCAACATTTATTTAATTATTTTATTCCATAATTTCTTTGATATTTCTTGTCCTGCAGTGAATGGGCTATGGCGAGTTGTCCTAGACCAGGGGTAGGCAATCTTGGCTCTTGAAATTCTGGGAGTTGAACTCCACGAGTCATAAAAGAGCCAAGGTTGCCTACCTCTGTCCTAGACCAAGACAGAACCATTCCCTAATCCTTGATCTTCTGCTTAAAAATCACTACTGCACCATGCAGATGGTGATATTGGTGGGTTGAATCAGACATCAAACAAGTAACACTTGGGATATTTTCTTAACACTTTGTAATGAATCTAGGATAAGACAATGCATGTATACTGACTCTTTTGTTGTTGTTGCACCACTGTATTTTCAAGAACCAGATTAAACTGCCATAAGGCAACCTTTTTCCCTTTTTTCTATAGCTTTCAACTGTTTGAATATTATTTTAATTCCTCACCTTGCTGCCTTTGGAAACAGTAGCACCATTCATTGTTTGATATTAAACTGTCCTTGTAAGTGTCACAAGAATTGAAGAATGCCTTGGTGCACTGCTCATTCTTGTCAAGATATATACTTCCAAGTTCTGATTGGTCCAAAAGTAGGTCATAGTTTGTGTCAAGTCTGTTAAACATCCAGCCAAGAGAGTCCTTGCAAATTGGTAAAATGCTGGTATCAAATCCTAAGAGACAAAGAGACCAAGCAATTAATTCACTAATACAGGCATAGCTGACACAAATATCAACAGAATCAATGGTGTCCTTTCTCATGGAAACTGTTTTATAGCATAAAACTAGATCAGGTCTGTGCTAACAGCGTTTAGCAAGGCTATTAGATGATGCAAAATTTGAAAGGACTACTAAATACCAGCAACACTAGTTCTTTGCTCTAATGTTTTCTGTTATCCACCTGGAATTTTGCAAAGTGAATCTGGTAGCCTTATTGTTACTTAGTATTTTATTATTTGTTTGTTTCTCCAATTTATCATGTATCTAGTTCAAACACTCTAAGTTATCTAACAAGTAAATATTTTAGACATTATTTAAAAGAAATCTACTAATTGGCAACTTCAAAAATTAATAACATGAATTGCAATTAAAATTAATTCATTAAAAATCCTGCTAAATGGCTTTATATAGCATGATCTTCAACTACCAAAAGTTCTGCAAGTTCCTAGAATTCTATAAAATATTATTAATTGAGCCGAGGTGGCGCAGCAATTAGAGTGCAGTACTGCAGGCCACTTTAGCTGACTGTGTTCAGCAGGTCAGCGGTTCAAATCTCACCGGCTCAAGGTTGACTCAGCCTTCCATCCTTTTGGGGTAGGTAAAATGAGGACCCAGATTGTTGGGGGAAATGTAAATATATATATACATTGCTTACTGGTGTACACCGCTTAGAGAGTGCTTGCACTTAAAGCGGTATATAAGTCTCATAAAATAAATAAATAAATAAATAAAATAAATATATGAATCATCATGGCTTAGTATGTCTGTGTAAGAAATTCCAGAGGAATTGAGCCACCTTTAAGAAAGGCTGCTTCCAGATTATAGACCCTCTATAACAGTGTTTCTCAACCTTGACAATTTTAAGGCATGTGGACTTCAACTCCCAGAATTCCACAGCCAGCATTGCTGGCTGTGGAATTCTGGGAGTTGAAGTCCACATGCCTTAAAATTGTCAAGGTTGAGAAACACTGCTCTATAAAGTGATACTGCATGGCTGAATTGGAGCAGATGGACAGATTCCCTCTGGAGAAGATGATCCTGTAGGTAACACAGATCTTATACAGTAGGCTTTATGGGTTATTAACAACAATAAATTGTTAACTGATTGAACTGAACCTGGAAAAACACTGACAACTAATGTAAGTAACACCTGCAACACATATATAGTATGTTATATTGCTAAAATATTTTGCAGCTGCCAAATATAGATGTGAGGTCCTTGATGGTCTCTAAACTTGGTTGTTAGAGAGCATCAAGGACCTCACAGTATAACTTGAACTACAAATATTTTCTTCTATTGATGGAATACAGATCACCACATTCTGCACCAGTATAATATCTGGTTTATTTTCAAGGGCAGTTTCATGTGGAGCATGTTGTACTACTCCAATTGCATTAAGAACACAAATAATTAGATGTCTTGCCACTTTGTCACAGAAAACTGAAAGCAATCATGCAGCCCATCCTTCCCTCTAGATATGGCTCCTGTATTTCATCTCACATATTTCTTTAGTAAATTAAATCTGCCGAAGATTACCTCCAGTATTTCCATCATTTTCATATTTCAGAGTTTGCTAAGATTCATGGCAGAACTGCCTGCCATTCTGCTAAAGAAATATCCCAAGTGTTTTCTGGAAATTATACCGATCCATATAGTATTTACCATGGATCACATATTTATAGACTATTTTAAGAAATAAAAGGCGTTAGCAAAGTTATTATTGCATGTCTATATTCCTTCTTTGTTCTCCTCTGTATTGAACAGAAAAAGAACAGAACAGGAGCACACTTCTGAACTCGCGTGTTCTTTGAAAATCGCCCATATCCCTATATGAACTTTAAAACAATGTTAACAAACAGGAAAAATACAATAAAAAAGAAATATAATTTTAGTAAGAAATGCAGCAGAATTTCACAAAAGAATGTATACGAGTTTTATACTGTATTTCCTTCAATTTTTTTCTCATGTTCAGTTTATATTATATTTGCTCTGGATTATGTTAGGACAGAGATTTTCTTCAGGATGAAAAACATTATTGAACTAACCATATGAAAAGGAAAGTAGGCCATTAGAAACTTAAAAAAAAGAAAGGTTCTTCATATATTTCATTTTAATGCAAGTTAAAATACACATACTGGTATGTCTCTTTGGAAAAAAGCCTTGATGAGTCAGATTTAAACTATTCTTCTCTTTGTGTTGTTTTTGAAAGTGCTCATTGTGGGGGGGGGGGACAGGGACAACAGTGGGCTGGTCATAAAATGGGCCTTTTACCAATTTTGTATATACAGCAGCCCATTGATTTCATTTTGTTCTACTTCCTTCCTTTCACAGAAAATGCAACATTCCAAAGATTACTATGAATACCTTTCCATTTTTTAAGCCTTGGTATTCCCACTACAGTATTAGCAATTATGATGCATTAAAAGAAAGCTAAAATATGCCCACAGATACAGGTAGTCCTCGATTTATGACCACAATTGAGCCCAAAATTTCTGTGGCTCATATGAACCAGTTGTCAAACATCTGAATGTAAATCACATGAACCTGGGGATAAGTGTGAAAAATGGTCATAAGTCACTTTTTTCAGTGCCGTTGTAACTTTGAACGGTCACTAAATAAACTATTGTAAACTGAGGATTCTTTTTTTTATCTATAAGGATAATAGTAAACCCCAAAGTTGCATGCATAATAAACAGGTGACTATTTCTTTGTCCTTGATATATCTTTTCCAGATATTGATACAGGAATGATTAAATTCTTATGGGATAGTGGAAAAAGAAGCTGGCATTAAACACTGATAAGCAGAGAAAGCAGCAGAAGATATAGTAGCTAATGAACTGAAGCAAATTAAATCTATGAATAAAAGTCTGATACCCTGATCACTGCCTTAGCATGTGCCACAAGGGATAAGCACATGAACCAGGAAGGACTTGATTCAGTTCTCAGAATAGTAACAAAATATTAGACAACTTTACGCAAACCACTTCCTATTTCTGTCAGAGAGACAAAATGATTAGTTACCCAGCACTGTTTAGCCTGTGATTAAGGAGTAAAAATAAACATTAAAGAACAATAATTAAGACAATAATTAAAACAAGAAAAAAGGTAAGGAAATGATTGGTCCATTAATGGGAGAAACTGGCCAGAAGGTGACAAGCAATAGGGAGAAAGCAGAACTATTTAACTCATTTTTTGCATCCGTCTTTACACAAAGGAAAAAAACAGTCCAACCTATCAAAAACAGTACTGTAAAAAACAGATTAGAACAGTGGTTCTCAACCTTTCTAATGCCACGACCCCATAATACAGTTCCCCATGTTGTGGTGACCCCCAACCACTTATACGTCACCGGGTGCCAGGGGCGTGGCCAAAGAAAAGGGGAAAAAAATGGCAGACAGCCTTGTTTGGCGACCCCCGTGAAATGGTCATTCGACCCCAAATGGGGTCCCGACCCACAGGTTGAGAACCACTGGATTAGAAACACAAATTAAGATAGGCAAGAAAATGGAAAATGAGCACATGTCCACCAAATCACCAGGACCAAATGGATTATACCCCAACATTCTGAAGGAACTGGCAGATGTGATCTCAGAACCACTGAACTATATCTTTCAAAGATCCTGGAGCACTGGGAAATTACCAGAGGACTGGAAAAGAGCTGATGTAGTTCCCATCTTCAAAAAAGGGAAAAAATGGATCCAGGAAACTACAGCTCTATCAGCCTGAGCTCAATACCTGGGAAGATTCTGGAAAAGTTAATCAAGCAACGAATCAGCTAATACCTAGAAGCAAACAAAGTCATTACCAAAAGCCAACATGGGTTTGTCAAAAACAGATCATGCCAGACAAATCTTATTGCATTTCTGACCAGGTGACAAAATTAGTGGTGCCCCAGGGTTCATCTTCATCAATGATTTGGATGAGGGGATAGATGGGGAACTCATCAAATTTGCAGATGACACCAAGCTGGTAGGAATAGTCAACACTCTAGAACACAGGTAGGCAACCCTGGGTCTTTTATGACTCGTGGACTTCAACTCCCAGAATTCCTGAGCCAGCCACGCTGAGAGGAAAGGGAGAGGTTTCCAAGCTGAGCCATGCTGGCTCAGGAATTCTGGGAGTTGAAGTCCACGAGTCATAAAAGAGCTAAGGTTGCCTACCCCTGCTCTAGAAGATAGGCATAAGATACAGAAGGAACTTGACAGGCTTGAACATTGGGAGCTATCTTACAAAATGAAATTCAATGATGAAAAAAGTAAAGTTCTACATTTAGGCAAGAAAAACCAAATGCACAGGTATAATATAGGTGGTACTTTGCTCAACAATAGTAACTGTGAGAGGGATCTTGGAGTCCTAGTGGACAATCACTTAAATATGAGCCAGCAGTGTGCTGCAACTGCCAAAAAAGGCAACACCGTGCTAGGCTGCATTAATAGAGGGATAGAATCGAGATCATGTGAAGTGTTAATACCACTTTACAATGCCTTGGTAAGGCCATACTTGGAATACTGCATCCAGTTTTGGTCACCACTAGAAAGAGTACAGAGAAGATGATCAGGGGACTGGAGGCTAAAACATATAAGGAACCATTGCTGGAATTGGGTATGTCTAGTTTAATGAAGAGAAGGATGAGAGGTGACATAATAGCAGTGTTCCAACATCTCAGGGGTTGCCACAAAGAAGAGAGAGTCAAGCTCTTCTCCAAAGCATCTGAAGGCAAGATAAGAAACAATGGATGGAAACTAACCAAACAGAGAAGCAACCTAGGACTAAGGAGAAATTTCCTGACAGTTAGAACAACTAATCACTGGAAAAGCCTTCTTCCAGAAGTCATGAATGCTCTAACACTGAAAGTTTTTAAGAAGAGACTGGACAACCATTTGTTTAAAATGGCATAGGGTTTCCTGCCTGAGCAGGGAGTTGGACAAGATGACCTCCAAGGTGCCTTCCAACTTTATTATTATTAATTGATCATCGCACAGTCAGCCAGATGTTCAGACTGGATTTGGCATTTTGTCTACCTATCGAGTCCTTACCCAGGACCTGGGATAGGCAGATGTGGATGTTTGATGGTATTACAGATATCGTCGCAGGATGGAAGCAGTTCCTAGTAAGGCCACCTTTTGCCTTACTATTACTACTACTACTACTACTACTACTACTACTACTACTACTACTACTATTATTATTGCATGCACGTGGGAAGCTCTTGTTCTTATCAGGAGAAAATGTTTAAATTCAAACCAAAATGTATTTGAAATTTGAGTGAAAAAAGAATTGTAACCAGGTATATAATAGCTGCTTTAATCAGGCTGGGATCAATTTGTCATCTTTCAAAGGGATGCTTTCATGAATATATGATACACTTTAGATTGAGATTTTTCTGTTGCAATAAATAGATTCTCAGAAGCTCACAATATATTATAAAACCATACATATAAAACGCAACATACTGCAGAAACTTACCAGGAAAAAAACACAGATATATCTACATTATGTAAACTATCATCAAACTTTACAAAGGCTTTTCTAATTCAGACAAAGCTAGTCCCAACAAGAGAATAAAAGGGAATTTCATCATATACACAACCTCAAAAAGTGCTTGGCAATTGCATATAAGAAAAATACAAAATATATGAATAACATTTGGTTGTCTTCCTAAAATCAGACAAATTGATAGTTTGTGAAAACTCAACTAATGTGGAGACTTTCCACCTACCAAGCATTTGGGTCGTTGTATATTTATTTCTAAAATTCCCCAAATAATAACACATTTTATATAATCGATATTTGCAATCATCAATGTTGATAAAACTTATTTTTGATGAAAATGGTTTTCATTGTATTTGAGTTTTTCCTCACTGAGCATAATTTCAATTTTAAATGCAGATAACCAGTAGAAATGCAAGCAGTTTTAGTTCCTATTATATCCAGTGCCATTTGGAACTTCCTTCCGCTCTTTCTGAAAGCTTTTTAAACTAAATGCCTTCCAAAATGGAAGCTCATTTTCCAGTATGATATCGATACTGTCATGGTTATAAATATCCACTTGGTTTTCTTGGAAGAATATTGGATCGGGTTGTTGTTTCCTTGTGGAGAGTTTAGTTCCTCATCCATGATTCATCACAATTGTGGATGAATTCTTGGGGGGAGGGGAGTCTACATTCTCAACAATAGAAATCATAGCATCATTGAACAATCTTCTTCACCATTACAATGCAGCAATCCATGAAAGGGGCTGAATGAAAACATTGCTTTGAAATCTATTCTATAAAATATGGTTTGTTTAAAAAAAGGTGATAGGTATTTTTAAATAGTGAGAGATATGAAGACAGCTTAGTTCTTTCATTTTGTTCTATCCTTGTAAGCAGCACAGGGTCAGTGTGAGTTGGGCAGCCAGATATATTTTCTTAATAAAAATAAATAAATAATTTTGGAACAGGAATTAAAGAAATAGTCTGTTCAGTTTTACCACTTGATATCATGTTCAAATATTCCCTTTCCTGACAATGAATAATGTAAACCTGGATCCTGTGTGTACCGGTCTCACTACTACTGAATTATAATGCAATGATGCATAAATTATATATGCACTGTTGTAATCACACAAAGAAATAAAATACAATTAAAATAATAGATTTTATAACTTATGCAAATCTGTACAAATAAGTACCTGAAATTAACAAATATTCAGAATATCTAAAAGTGTAAATAATGAAACTAACAAGGAAAGCAGTTATCAGCAGAAAATGCATATTAAACAACAGACAGGAATTGGCTTGTTGTATTACTGAAGAATCCAGTTTTAATGCTTGCAAAATTTGCTAAGTAGATTTTCTCTGTAGGCTTCCCAACATTCTTTAGTAGTAAATCCATTGTCAAGCATGTCACTGTTCATTAACCTTATAAACATAGCCTAGAAATAATTACAAATTCTGCTAATTTTTATTTTATTTCTCTGCTATGATAGTACCATTTATTAGCAATTGTATGTTACCATATGCTATTGAATACTATCTGCCAGTTCAGTCCAGTTCTGTCCAGTGCTGTCTGACAGCAAAGTAACATTCATCAGTGAAATCAATTCTACCTAATATAATTCCATACTCCAAAAATTGGAGTTGTGCCCTGAGAGTTGATATTTGTAAAATACAAATAATTATGCTTGTTTAAAATCCCATTTCCATTTTATGTATGTATAAAATGTATAAGCTTGTTGGAAGAAAAGTCTTCATCATGGTCCAGTCCAAGCTGGGGATAAACAACATGGTGGCTGCTTTAACGAGAAGGTTGCAGTTTATTAAAGGGTCAGACAGAAAGATAGTTCTGGCAGGAAAGAGGAGAGAAAAGGGCTGAGCACATGTGGGGAGTGGGTTTTTATACCCTCTGGAGCAGTGGTTCTCAACCTTTCTAATGCCACGACCCCATAATACAGTTCCCCATGTTGTGGTGACCCCCAACCACTTACACATCACTGGGTGCCAGGGGCGTGGCCAAAGAAAAGGGGGGGGGAAATGGCGGACAGCCTTGTTTGGCGACCCCCATGAAATGGTCGTTCGACCCCAAATGGCTTTTGCGAAGCGCGGTTAGGACGTTCTGTTAGTAAGTTAGCACTGGAACGAAGCTCCATTCATTGCCCTAAATACATTCCTCCACCACACCCAGAGTACACACCCCAATTGACGGTTAATTGGTCATCTGGAATCCACCTGTCCCCCTCCCCATACCTGCCTTGTGATAGTCCTCCACCCTACCTACGCCCCGATCCAGCTAGTACTTATGTTCTTGAGAACCACTGCTCTGGAGTCTTTTGTTTGGAGTTGCTTCCTTTTCCTGTAGCATGAATTTTGCCTGAGTCTGAGTGTGCTTTTCTGGTATTCTATGGTGATAGGCTAATCTTATAATGTCACAAAGGTCATATCCTGCTTCCCTGGTGCTGGTGCTAATGACTCTTAGAGTTTGGATGGGATATGTAGATTTAGGTCTTTGTCTTCTTAATCTCCTAGCTCCCTGGATTTACATCTGCATCTCTATAGAGCTGGTTTCTGCTTGGGGAAGGGAGACCTGGAGCTATTAAGAAAACTGGGCATGCTTTCCTGCCTCTTTAAGATCCTTGGAGGAAATATATTTTTCTGCCCTTTTAATATTTCTTTCTCCGAGGGGCTGACTTCCCATAAACTTATCGTACGTTAAATCCAATTCCTATTTTATGCACATGTGCAATGTGCATAAAATATATATGCATCCATGAAACCCCATTCAGGTTTAATGGGCATGCTTCTTTAACAGAAAGACATTAATTAATAGTACTGTATACAGAGTGCTATATCCTAGCAGTTGAATGAAATGGCCTAGCAATCCATCCATTCATTAATTCATTCATCACATTTATAAGGGTGCAGAACCTGTTGATAAAACTAGTGTATATTGTTCCATGCTAATACATATACATGTTTCTATTATCTGCAGGGCAACATTTTAAGAACATGAATTTATCGAAAGCATCCTAGAAAGGGTTTAGGAAATAAAGTTTGAAGTTTAATGAGAAATAAAATTCCTTCTAAATCAGAGATTCTTCCAGAGACATATTAAAAATTGTTAAGTGCTTACTGCTTCTTTCAGGCCTTTGCAAAAGTCTAGCTCTCTTCTGAACTCCACTCTCGTGAAGGGCCTTGAACCAGTCTCGCAATCGACTTGCAACTTCTCTGAACTCCAAGTCACCACATGCTGAAAAGCAAAATAGAACGCCCTTTAATCTCCACAGGCTGCCTAAAAATTAAATCTTTCATATTGTAAATAAATGGAAAGTAGCCATAGGCAATCATTTTGTTACGACTTCAATTCCCTCTTTCTTTTTCTATAAAAATTTTATAAAATGTAATTTACATAAAGTCTTTGAAAAGTTTTATTTGCAATTATTCCTTTATAAATTATTTATAACCCTTTAAAATTACAAAATAAAACCATAAAAAGGGTCTTATTGAATCTGCCTAGGTTTCTATATCATTCAACTTTCCGTGTCACACAGTGGCCAACTGGATATATTTGGAAAGCATGTAGCCATTGATTATAATCACTGGCTGTGAATTCATCAAATGTGCTACACGATAGAAAACTCTTTTGTCTATCAAACTCTCTATTTGGCTTCAATGAATCTCAGGTTTTATGAAAAAGAGATAAAAATATGCTATTTAAACTAAACATGATTTTTTAGATATATATCATATTTCCCAAATTTTTTGTTCCAAGAACCATAGTTACAGAACTTTCAAAATCTCACAGCAAAGTTATTATGTGTTTCTGATTATAGTTGCTTCTCAATGATATAAGGATACAAATGATATTGTCAACACTGCAAATATTGTATATTCTTGCTTTGACAATATGCAGAACTGTCTGGTATTTTGGGGGTTAATATAGAGCAGAAGGGGGTGGGGGCAAATCCCGGGAAAGAAAGAGGAAGGAAACTTTTGACCTTCACACTAATTGGATAATGTGATATATGGCAGCTAATTTAGGGAGGGAACATGCTGATAATTTAACTGCTCAGAGGAAGAGAACTTAGATCTTAGCATAAAGCCTCCGTTATGCCTGTGCTGACATTTTGTAACAATAAATGACTTTTAGGAAAATCAATGCCTGGAAGTTCTTTGAAGTGTTTCATTAGCCGGAACCATAACAACATGCTAAGATCTCAATCCTTTTCAAACGACCCGGGGTCCCGAACCCCATCCACTTCCTCTAGGCTTGAGAGGAGCTGGTAAAGATTTGGGGAAGATCTCATTATGAAGAGAGAAATATATGCCTGGAAGCCAGCAAGAAATTGGGACCTAAATTCTTGGGGCCTTTCCCCATAGTAAGGATCATCAACCCAGTCACAGTAGAACTAAAACTCCCTAGACTTTTAGGGGAAATTCACCCAGTTTTCCATTGTAGCTTGTTGAAGCCTTATCAGGGCTCCACTTTAAGACCTCCTCTGGAGAAGGAGCCTGGGCCCCTCGTAGTCATGGGACAGACCCATTATGAAGTAAAACATATTCTTGACTCTAGAATTTTTAAAGGGAAATTGCAGTACCTAATACAATGGAAGAGATACCCGTTGTCTGAAGCCACCTGGGTGAAATTGAGTGAAGTGAAAGCTGACAGATTGGTCAAAAGATTTCATGTGAAGCACCCCAACAAACCAAAAGATAACCCTTAACATACGCTTTTGTTTACTTTACAGGATCTGTCCTTCTTGTAAGAGGGGCCGAATGTCAACGCTGCAAATACTGTATATTCTTGCTTTGACAATATGCAGAACTGTCTGGTATTTTGGGGGCTAATACAGAGCAGAAGGGGGTGGGGGCAAAGCCCGGGGAAAGAAAGAGGAAGGAAACCTTTGACCTTCACACTAATTGGATAATGTGATATATGACAGCTAATTTAGGGAGGGAACATGCTGATAATTTAACTGCTCAGAGGAAGAGAACTTAGATCTTAGCATAAAGCCTCCGTTATGCCTGTGCCAACATTTTGTAACAATAAATGACTTTTAGGAAAATCAATGCCTGGAAGTTCTTTGAAGTGTTTCATTAGCCAGAACCATAACAGATATAAGTTAACAGTTCTACATGCAGGTACTGCTAAAATCACAATAAAGCAAAGGAGGTCTAATAAGTATCATAATAGGTTTCCATCTTGGTGACCCCTTGTGTGTTTGAAACATTATGAATAAATGAAGATATGATATTGGTGTATTAACCACGTTACATTTTTATAAACTGAAAGCTAGAATAATATATAATAAAGAGTTTCAATATTTTTTACCATAAACAAGAAATTTATTATAATAAATTATAAAGTATAATTATAAAAATAAATTAACCGATCGATCAAGAAACCACTGACCATTACAGACCTGTGCTTTCTTTCTACCAGCTCTAGTTAAGCTTCTGCTGCTATCCAAGTATTTAGTAGTTAACCATGTCCAGTTGCTAAAGAGTACTGAGCTAAATTGGTGAAAATATATTTCAGATTCCAGATAACACAAATCTCCTAACACTTCAAAGAATATTTTTTAATCTGTTCCCCCAAACAAACAAAAAATGCACACACTACAACAATTAGGAGCAGCTTGGAATAGTTTAATCTGGAAGAAGAGAGTATGGCAATACTCTTGTCCTCCAGTTCTGTAACATCCTAATGTTTGTTTTAGATGTGATGAACACAGGAAGAAGATAAAAAGAAAAACATTAAATTATATTGAATGTACAAAGCAACTGACTATGGCTGGTACCTGTACAGCTGACAAAACAAACCTGAAAGTTAGGAATAATATTAGGAATAGATTAGATGACTATTTAAACTTGTCAAGACTGATTTGTACTTTCATCTATATTCCTCTTTGCTCGCAACTTCACAAAAAAAAGGAGGATGTGGGATGCAATTCAAGGATGGGGGATGGAATTCAAGGATGGGGGGAACTGCATCTGACCATCATCTGTTCCCGTGGGACAGTGCTCCAATCCAAGGATACATCGAGCAGATGGGTTAGCGTGGCTGGCTAGTTCCCATAACAAAATGAACAGAAGTGATTGGTGGACATAATGGACTGTGGATGGCCCATATGGAAAGTGGGGAATTAACTATGCTAGCTTTTGCATGGGAAACCCAGAGCTGGGTTTGCTTTGTCTGTGCCAATATGGTACACTCAGTAAACTTTATATTCTTGGTAAAATAATATCTCAGGAGTTTCTTTTTCAGGATTCACCAACTGGACAGTTGACAAAACTAGTTAAGAGTAGCAGTCCTTAAGAGAAAAAACATACTGACGCTACTGGCTCTACATTGCCTAATATGGCTAAATATGTAACAGTAAATAATGCAATTAAGTTCATACGTCCGGTTAGATCCCACAGGCTGGGCCTCCTTCAGGCCCCATCAGCCAAGCAGTGCCATTTGGCGGGGCCGCGGAGGAGGGCCTTCTCTGTGATGGCACCCATGCTTTGGAATCAGCTCCCCCCGGAGATTAGGACCGCTCCCACCCTGTTGGTCTTCCGTAAGCTACTTAAGACCTGGCTTTTCCGGCAGGCCTGGGGTTTATAAAACCTAACCCCTGGATGATTGTCTTTGTACTGTTGTTTTGTTATGTTTTATGTGTTTTTTATTGTTAGCCGCCCAGAGTCCTTCGGGAGTGGGGCGGCTTATAAATTTTAAAAATAAAATAAAATAAGTAAATGGGCTCTGCTACTGCCAGAATGCCAGATTGAGCTTGCAGCATACTAAGGATTACTTGTAATTACTCCAAATTGCAGAGTTTAGTTTTCTCCTTCAAATGAAAAATCTTCTTTTTTTTATGAAGGCACGCTCCTTAAATTATATAGTACAAATCTCTATTGATTTAAAATAGGTCAAGATGAGGTAATTCAGACTGATATTTCAACCAACAGTTTGGCAGATGAATCATTAATGACAAAGACAGACTGTAAAGGTTCTAGAAGGTTATACGGTAATCAAAAATGCATATTAAATCAGATGAATCCACTCAGGAACCTGCCAAGAAGTGCTTTTCTTTTGGTATAATATTGAGTTGTGCTCTTGCAATCAATTCCAGCAACCACTAAAATAATAAGTATGGATAAATAAGGTTCCCAGGTCAAATGCTATTTTAGTTGACCATCTTAAAAGTCTAGACTGGGTATATAAAAATCAACATATATAACCAGTATGGGGGAAATCTTTCATACATGTCCTATAAATTATTTTCATAATGTATAAATGCAAAATGGGCAGGTGTTCTCTTACCATTTTCTTGCTTAATTAATTTGTATTCCTAGTCTATCTTTTATGATTCTGTTTTGGTAGGTTGGACTATATTATTTTTTGCATGAAGATAGATGTAAAGAATAAATTAAGTAGCTCTGATTTCTGTCCACCGCCTCTTACTTCCTTGCCATCTTCTCTCATTAGTGGACCGACAGTTTCCTTGACTTTTTTCTTTTTTTAATATGTTGAAAAACTTTTACAAATTATTTTTGACATTTGTTGCAAGTCTTCATTCTGAGCCTTAACTTTCCAGACTTCACTTTTGCAAGTTCAGGCTATTTGTTGGTATTGTGCCTTAGTTTTCTTTCCATTTTTTATACTTATCCTTTTTGTCTTTCAGTTTATCAGACAGTTTTATTTCAACTTTCTATGAAAACAATTCTAGGAGTTCCAAAACTAGGGAGAAAACTAGATAATTAGTTGCTACCTGTGATATGGTTTTATTCTGCCTTCATTCTTCAACTATTGAGATAGACTCATTGGAAGCTTGATAGATTGCTACCTGATATCTTGGTTGCCTTAGGTAATAATTGCAGCTACCGTATATTCTGGTGTATAAGACGACTTTTGAGAGCGTTGAAACAGGCACCGAACTCAGGGGTCGTCTTATACGCCGAGTGGTCTTATACGCCGGAAATAAGGTAGTTTCCGGCGTATAAGACGATTTTCTAGGCATGTGACTTGGCTTTGATCATCTTGCGACTCGGTGTCGATCGTTTTGCAACTCAGCGTCGAACTCGGGGGTCATCTTATATGCCGGGTTGCCCTATACGCCAGAATATACGGTAATTACATAATCAAATTACCTAATTTGCAGCCTTGTCATTTTGCGAATTAAATGATGGGCCATTGCAAGATAGAAACACATAATCAGGTAGGCCAGCTAATGTAAAACCTCCTTCTTGTTCAGACGTAAGCGG